AATAGGCAAAGTGAAACGGCTTCACTTCAAACCTAAGGGGAAATTAACAAACAATACAACAAAGAAAATAAAACCCCCAAAACCAGCTCTGACAGCACACCAGCTCCTACAACAGCAGCTCTGAAAAACATCAAACTCTGACAGTTGATTAACAGCAAAACAGTAACATCTTCAAGTGAACCCCAAAATCAACTCTTCAGTGACCCTCTACACTCCAAGCAAACACCCAGCTTTAGCAAGCATTGAACCCCAGCAGTTGACAGCTTCAGACAACAGTAAAACCCTAATCCAACAATTGGGCAGCTTTGACAGGAACATGTATCATCTTTATCAATCTTTAATGCAATGAATTTCATCTTCAATGAACTTCTTTCTTCAAGGCAAGCACTCCAGAAGAGAATCACTTAACAAAATAGGTTGAATGCTAAACAGCTTATTGACAACCAAAGGAAGCCTATAAGTGTTTAACATTATGAGAGACAGGTTCCCTCAAAGTTCTACTCCCAAGATAAGCCACTTATCCCTCCAAAGGAGGGATGTGAATATCTTAGGAGGACTTTTAGTCATTGGGAGGAATGGAAGCACAAGATGCTTTCCATGTTTGTGGAAGAATTCAGTCTAATTTAAAGCTCTGCCTATTTTTCCCTATTTCCTATGTCTTCAAAAAAAACCATCTTCAAGCACAAGAATCCCCAAGATCCAAGTATTGATACTTGCCTTCAATCTTCTCACATGCTTCCTTATACTCCACAGGCCAAGCCCAAGCCCCACACCCCCAAAGAAATACCCAAAACCCAACAAACAAAGCAACATCCCAAGTGGGAAACACACCAATACCACCCGAATTGCAAAAATCAGGTAAAAAAAGTAAAACTCAATATAAAATCCTAATTAAATTTCTAGGGGACCTTAACTATGTACCCTATACCCCATACAAACCCCAGGACCTAAATCAATTTTAAAATCCCAAAACTATGCCCTAAACTGCACCTAATTGTTGTGAAACCCTAATCCTGATCACCCTAAAGTTGATGGTTCAAAACTATCCTAAATTAAATCAAAAAAATGTGATAAAATTCCAGGGGGGACCTAATACTCTAATCTAACCATAGGAAAAAGAATTACATCAAAATATGAAATACAATGGCCATACTAAATTCAGCAAGTAACATATACCAAGTGAAAATGAAATAAATGCCATAAAAAGTAAAAATAAACCAAAAAATGAAAAAAATGCATGAAATGCCAATTTTATTTTCTTATAATTTTCTTGATGTTTTTATGAAAATGAGGGAAAAAATCCCATGTAAAAATGACCAATTTTCAATTTATTAAGATTTATTGAGTAAACTATATGCAAACATGAAAATCAATTAAAAATGAAAACAATGCGTGGCAAAAAGCAATTATTTACAGTTCAAAGATGCATTGGGCTCAGGAGGGGGGTACCAATAGCATGCGTGTTAGGCCCAGTACTACTCAGAAAAGCCTAAAAAACAAGGAAAAGAAAAAAAACTGGGGGGGGGGGCATATAACAAATATTCGCCTTGTAATTTCCAATGGGCCCCAGACTGGGGGGTGCGAATAGCAAGTCTGGGCTATGGCCCAAAACAACAGTGCATGGGGAGAGGGGTACCAATGGGAAAAAGGGGGATGGTTAGCAAACCTTGCAAATGGGCCTAAGCCCGAGTCCAATTCTCCCTCAGCCTCAGCAAAACAAAACTAAACTTCTCCTAACTCTCCCTCACTACTGTTCACTGTCTCCAAACCCTAACGGCGCTCCTCTGCCTTCCCACACCTCTCTCTCGTTTCCAGACCTTCATCTCCCTAACAACTCTGTCTCACCAAACTCCCTATGAATCTCTCACTCTCAATCTACTCAAACCTCTCAGTTCAACCTAAATGTTTCTTGCCTCAGCTTTCGATCACATCCTAATTCTACAAACCTCTCAAAGAAGGAACAAAAGCTATCACTAACCTGGAGGAAATCGCAAGTGATCTTTAGCACGCTTGACACCGCTGATGAATATCTGAGGGGATCCTTGAAGTTCTGGAGATTTGGGTGAATACGATGATCATGGCGATGATCTCTGATGATCTTACGAATCTGGAATCATCTGGAGTTTCTTGTTGGATTCTTGAAGACCTTCACGCAGATCTGTGGATTTCTGGACAAACGGAGGAAGAAACAAGACGAAGACGATGAATGTTGAACAGGTTCTTGAACAGATCTTGGAAGACCAATTGATTTCTTGCGTAAATCTGGAGATCTTTGAGTTTTTCCGGTGATCTGGATGCGTGATCTATGAAGATCGTGAAGAACATTGAAGATTTGAGGACGTTCATTGATGAACACGAATCCAGGTTGATGAATATATGAAGATCTTTTGTGAAGATCCGGTGAACAATTGAAGATCTGGAACATTCTTGAAGGATCTGATGAATACGATTACGAGCGGTGAGCGTTCCATGAAGATCGCTGGAGATTTGATGAGTTTCTTGATCGGAAGTTTCTGGAGAGAATTGATGAACGGATGATAATATGAAGATTCTTGAAACCTGATGAACTTTGTTATGACTTTCTGGAAAAGTCCTCAAGAACGTGATGGAATTTTGGCGCAGATCTGGAGAAATGCAAGAGCAGAAGATGAACATTGATGAATCCGATGGATTTTTGATGAACACACGGTGAGAGTTGCTGAGGATTTTGTGTTTTCCGGTGGATGTGCAGTTTCCGGCGAAGAGGTCGATAGGAAGGTGATGAACGTGATGATGAATCTGGTGGTTTTCTGGTGATTGTTGGTTTCCCGGCGAAGTTGTGGCCATGAGAAGCGCCACTTGATTTCACCGATGAGTTTTCCGGTGAGTTTGCATGTGGTCCGGTGATGAACTCCGGCGAGGTGGTAGTGGAGACACGTGTGGTGGAAGACAGATGCATGGAGGACGTGTGTGTAGGACAGGTGGTAGAGTGGGGCTTGCATGAGTGCCAAGTGGCATGAGAGAGAGAGATAGTGGACTGGTGAAGTGGAAGAGAGAGGGATAGCCACATGTGGGGGGAAAGTGTGAGTGGATTGGTGAGGTGAGGTGTCCAAATCTGAGGGAAAACGCGTGGGACCCTATATGTATGACACATGGCAGTGAAATGGACCCTGGAACTGGGCTTTATGGACTGGATAAATGGCCCATTAATAATACTCTGATTAAAGCATTAAAACAGAATTAATGGAAACTGAACCCTAATTAACCTAACAATTAATAAAACGAAAAAACTAATTAATGAGGCTAATTGAAAAACGAAAATGAATTAAAAAAAGCTGATTATCTAATGAAGATGGTTAATGACTAATTAATACATCCTATTTGTTAATAAAACTACCCTAAAATCTAAAAATCTATTTTCAAACTATTAATTGCTAAATCTATATTAAATTCTAACCAATGAAAAAATCTATTAAAATCTAAAAAGAAATAATAACCTATTAAATTCTATATCAAAAAATCTATTAAATCAATTAAAAATCTAATCTAACATTATTATACTCCCCTTTTTTTTTTTTACTATATCAAAAACTATTATTAAAAAAGTCTAAAATCTATATTAAACTACTCTATTTAATGATAAAAAACTAATATCTAAAATGTTAAAAATCTATTAAATCTATTACAAAAAGAAAGGAATATCTATTTAAAAATCTAAAAACCTATTAAGAAAATATCTATTAAATTCTAAAAAAAACTATTAAATTCTATAGGAAAAATACTAACCTATTTAATATCTAAAAAGCAAGTAAATCTATTAAAAAATCTATTAAATGCATTAAAAATCTAGAAAATAAAAGAAAAATCCTAAAAATGCCATGAAGCCGATTGACAATAAAGTGGGGACATTGAAGAAAACAAGTTTCATAACATAAATCTAATATCTGATCTGGTTGGCAAATGTGGTTTTAGTTCGAACGCCATCCCAAAAATGGTGAACGTGTGTCAATTTCACTGATTTAAACCCGTCGTGTCCTAAAAACCTCTACCCGTTGCCAATAATTGCAACTACTACGATAATGTCATGTCTTTTAGACTGAAGAATACACGTGCCACTTAACAAAGACACATATGCAGTATTTTTTGATCAAATAGGCACACCCTGAAGGTTTATATTGATGACATGGTCATAAAGTGTCCTAAGGAAGGAAACCAATGGAGTGATCTATAAAATATCATGAAGTCAGTTAGAAGATATAATATGCGCTTGATAAATGAAAGGCAAGTTCTTAGGTTTTATGTTAACTAGAAGAGGGGTAGATGAAAATCCTGATAAATGACCAACCATCATTAACATGAGATGCCCTACCCCAATTAAGGGCCGATTTTGGTCATACCTGCAAAGGAGGAAACCATTCCTCCAATCTAGTAGGAAGAACCGCTCCCCCAACTCCAATATACTCGTTGAGAAGTTAAGGGAAGACTGTTTTCTTCCCATTACTCGGTCGATAATACTGTCTACAGATATTCCAACCTATAGAGTTGGAAAATCATTCAGTGATTTCACATAATCAACATACATAAACTCTCTTGCGGTCATCCTCAGTCATCTTTATTGTATTTCTAGCCAGTACAAGCGTCAATGAAACAATAAACATATTTGAGAATTAAGTAGTTAAACATGTGAGTTTTGATGTATTTTCTGCAATATAGTTAACCAGGTTGAAGTCTGCCATATTTTCAATAAGAACATGGCATTTTAATCCAAATAATTTGTTGTATTCAATTTGCTTTTGAATCTAGCAGTCTCATTTTCAAAATTAGGATATTATTTTACTTATACCCTTGAGCAAAACCACTAGAATCAATTATAGATACTTTGCATGCAAATTAACAATCAACCCAAATTGCAAATACAATTCAGTTTTATCATGTCATGATTCCATAGATTCATTATAGGCATCAATTTACAATTCAAATAGTTAAATTTGTGAGTTATGACTACTTGAATTATTATCAAATCATTCTCCATCTTCATGAGCATCACCTAAGTCATCACATGCACTGTCATAGGCACCTTCATCAGAGTTGTGATCTGCACCATCTTCTGTAACTTGTGAAAGTGGTGAAAACTGAAAAAGGTCTTCCAAAATAATATTTATTTGTGGTGGTGGAATTTGAGGTTCAAGGTCTAAACTATCGTCATCATCATCATCACCACCATTATCATTTATGTTATAACAACTATCTTGTCCAACAAAACCCTCTAACTGAAGTCTGCAAACAGGACAGGTTGTGTTGTTGTTAAGCCATCGAAGAATACATTCAAACTTGTACCTATGGTTGCAGGCTAACTGACATGCCTGATCGCCCAGTTTAAATTCCTCCATGCAAATAGGACACTGTGAGAGTTCATCTCTTTCATGCAACTCTGAGACTGTCACCATGTGAATGGCATTGATGACACTATCTGGAATTCTAAAGAACTCGCTTTGATTGATACCAGGTCGAACTTGGTCGATCAAGGGAGGGAAAACATTATCAGTAAAGGGATATATAGTAACCCTTGAATCCTGTGATAGTGGTGGCGGAGGAGGAGACAGTGGTGGTTGTAAAGATTGCATGTTGATTCGAGGTTCTGAGTTTGCAGCCTCCAGGTGTGTAAACAAACTAAGAGGATGAGGCACTGGTTGAAAATACCAGTTCGAGTTGAGTTGAGGTTCTGGATTTGGTGGTGGTGATAGTGGTGGTGATAGTGATGGCATTTGTGAAGACCTTTGTAGTGGTGTTAATAGTGTGAAAAAAGGCGGCGGTGGTGGCGATGGAAGAGTAAGCCAGTTGATATCAGGTTCTGGATGTGGTGGAGAAGGTTGTTGCCATGTACTAGTTTGAGTTGAAGTACTTGGAGCTATGACTACAGATTCTGTGTCAGAATCATCTGAACTATCACTTGTGGGCATAAAGCATAGCCTATACCACCTTGTGGATTGTTGGCTTTGGCCATGGTTCATTGGCATGGCTGAGAGTTTGTGAAATTATGGCGAGATATTGGCAAAGGCTTTAGCCATATAGAAAAAACTGGTTCAAATGATTTAGTGTTTTGCTGTGTTTGTTTCATGATAAAGTCTAAAACTTTTGATCATATAAAATTTTACAAATTGTTTTCTGTTTTTATTTGCTCCTTGTTGATTAAGCAATACACACTGTAGTTAAAGTTGTTGCTGTCACATGCACTACCACCTCATCAACCAAAAAGAAAAAGAGGTATGAGTCAAAAGGAAACACCTTTAAGAAAGAAACGACATTGGAAACAACTAATCACCTTACTTATTTATTAAGCTATTTTGAAAATTTGTTCACTAAAACAAAGCCACTTTCAACAATTAGTGCGCTTGTTAAGATCAAATTAGCTTTTATTAATTTTGGGCCATGTTTATACAAAGCTTTCGTGAAACTTCAATGCACCTCATAATTTACATACACAGCTTCACGAAATTTCAAAAATAGTCCTCAAATTTGGATTTTATAATCCTGATGCACTTATACACAACAATCTATTTTGGAACACGCCAAAGTTAAATATTAAAAAACTTCAGACTTTGAAATATGTATAATAAATTAAGGAAATTGAATTTCGGACACGCCTAATACATCATACCTATGGCCAACCTCGAGACCACACAATTTAATATTACTATTAATTTTAATGTCCGAACTTTTTACGAAGATTAGAATCCATACGCTTTTATATAAGTACACTCGTGTCTTTCCCTCTCCCTTCTCATTTCCATTTCTACAAAAGAGAAAAAATAGAGAAACAAACAACTTCTTCTTATTTGTGATTACAGAGCCTACTCTTCTTATTTTCAAGCATTCTCAGAGTTTCTATCTATTGCATTGAAGTTTATCATGTCTCTATTCTATTACATTGCATATATGTGAAGTTCTACTCCATTGCTCTGGTATGTTGCTCATCCCCTTTCCTTTTTTTGATTTCACATGCATGCATTACCTAAATATTTATAGGTTTGATACTTTAGGCTTAAATACTCCAGAACCAGCATACTAGAGACACTAAACATGTTGGTTACACATTTGGGAGTTGGCCCTGGAAAAGTGCAACAGGAGATAAATGACACTAAAGGATGTCATGTTAGGATTTTATTTTTTGATGGATATGTATGATCACCACTTGACTAAAGCTTTGGGTGCTGATGGTGATGATGCATGAGTTGCATATCACAGAGCATATGCATTTAGGTCACACCTCTTGCTTTTGGTCGACACATCCATTTTTGTGGACAAAAATGTAACCTATGTCGACGTTATCTGCCTCAGATATTTTATTGACCTGGAGAGAATTCACGAGTACAACTGAGGGTTTTCTTGTCTAGTGTACCTCTAATCCAAACTAGATGGGTGTAGTTTATGGAAGACTTGACAATTGATAGAAAAAATAGTTTATTTACGATAATATTTTGCACTCTTGTTGATATAAACGACATAATACTTGTGCTACATCGTTACTAATACTTCATCTTTTCCATTTTCAGGCATGGATCCACCAATATTTTCTGTGTATCATCGATTGAGCATATATGGAAGGTTACATTAAGGATTTGTCATGCGCATGCTATATCCTCCCGTTTATTGGGAGTCAAGCAACCAGACCATTCTGAGTTGTTCTTCATCACATCGTTTCAGATGATATATATTTTATGCCATATGACAATCACCATGAGACACAACCCTTGGAGGTGATAGCCTTCTACTCTAGATGAATGACATGTAGGTATCGACTTATGTACCCACATTTACCTGAGGGAGTCGTGTATCAATTTAGGTATATGAAATTGCATGGTATACCTAGAGACCCCACCGTTGTTGCTCTTGTCACTATCCCCCGCGTGAAAGTTAATGAGATTTTTGCAACGTACTATGATCATTTGGTCCTAAAGGATGTATGTCGTGTGCCATCTCCTCGAACATGAAGTATGGTATACGACTACATCCAATGGTTTTATAGAGTATCACATCCACGCATGAGACCAAATGCAGAAGGAGATCATCTAAGGCCAGGTCATCAAGAGATCTTGGAGGAGCGGACCATGTCGTTCATGTGTTACAATATGTCACCGCATTGTGAATTTTGGGAGAGAGGCCACATCTAGGGGTGATTTTGAGGAAGATACTTCGTAGATTCCACTCTACAAGCCATCTTAGTAGAGGTACAACATGCATTGGACTACCAGTGGCAGAAGAGGAACATGGGGTAAGATATGCGCAGTAGTGGGATTTTTATTTGTATATTTTGACTTTTTTTTGTTTATGGTTTGTACTTTGATTGATTATGACAATTTGTATTTAAAATTTTGGTATTCATATATATGCACCAATTTTTCTATTTTGATCTTATTATTGAATGGAAAATGTGTATGGTTTATTGTGGGATTGATTTATAAGTGACTTATAATGTAAGTTTATTAAAAAGTGTCAAATTTCTTTGAACTTATTGTCAAAGGGTGTAAAATATTATCATGAGGTTAATCTCGAGATTAAAATTTGGAACAATGATTTTAAGAAAAGTCAAAAAAAAATGCCTGCAAGGTTAATTCAAAGATTAGAATTCAGACCAATTTTTGACAAAAATTTTGTGTCTCGATCATGAAGTGATTTTGTTGTAGAATGAGCGCCTTCAGATTTTGAAACCGAGAATACATGAAAGATATTTTGGGGGTTTCCATAGGGTGTTGGATGTAGTGAAAAACACCCATAATTTATTATTACACTGCCCATTGAGAAAAGAAAAAGGAACAAATATATGATTGATATTTTTTTTTATGAAAATTGTAAATATAATTATTATAACAAATTTATAATGAAGAGAAATATATGTAAGAACAAGAGTGGTTATGTATCTGGCCTTAGATTTTGATGATAATTGCACGTGTTATCTTAGATAATAGTTTGGTGCTTTATGGTTTCTGTCTAGTGTGCAGTTTTTTCTAAACAGGACCAGACTCTGATAGAAAGGCGTGTGACGTAATTAGACTCTGATCTAAACACTCTGGAAGAAAACATATGTTGTGTACAAGATAAAATCAAAGTTCTAGAATGTTTTTAATGCAACGATTATGAAGAACATTTGTATTAAAGCTTCTGATTATGACTTTGTAATTAAGCCTTGAAGGCTTTCTAAGAGATGTGCTTCTATCGCTACATGTTCTGAAGTTTCTGAAGACAAGGTTCTATTGAACAAAGTTATGAAGATTCTAAAGACATCATTTCTGAAGTTCAAGTTCTGAAGACTCTGAAGACAAGGTTCTGTTGAATGAAGGTCTATAGAATTTGAAGACAACTATGTGCTGAACAAGTTCTGAAGTTTCTGAAGACAAGGTTCTATTGAACAAATTTCTGAAGATTCTAAAGACATCAATTATGAAGTTCAAGTTTTGAAGACTCTGAAGACAAGGTTCTGTTGAACGAAGTTCTGAAGACTCTGAAGACAAATATATGCTGAAAAAGTTCTGAAGATTATAAAGACAAGGTTCTGTTGAACAAGCTCTAAAGTTTTTGAATACATCACCTTTAAAGATCAAGTGCTGAAGACTCTTAAGACAGGTTTTGTTGAACGAAGTTCTGAGATTTTGAAGACTTAGGTTCTGAAGTTACAAGTATTTATCTCTTTATACACACTTCATCAAATATCCATCTGAAGCCTCTAAAGATTAGAAGACAAAAGATCAAGAATGGTTTGCATGTTTCAATGAATATAAAAGTACAAAGTAGTCTGTGGCCTCTACCTATAATACGTGGCCCAAGGACAACTCTTTTATATTATGATGTTGACCATTCCTTTAAGTGACCGTTGGGATATTAGAGTTGGAATATGTTTCATATTATACCCTGCAACGGATCTATTCTCAAGCTATATATATTGAAGATCTGAATGCTTGAAGATGTTGTCGAATGCCAAGTGTGAAAGTGCCGAATGATAAAGGCCAAATGCGAAGTTCACAAAGGGCTGAGTGTTGTAGTGCTAAAGAGCCAAAGCAACAAAGAGAATAGACAGGGGAAGAATAATGAAAAAGAAGAAAAGGAAGAGCTGAAGAAAACACGATAGTATGTCTGCAAGGCGGAAGCAAGCACTAAGTTGTAATCTCAAAGGGATATGCTTGAAGCTCAACAAAAATAGAGCGCAACTCTACAAGAAAAAGAGATAAACATTAAAAGAAGATTTTAAACTCAACAAAACTCATGCTGATACACTGCAAATCTCTAGGAGGTTATTCGTAAGATAGTTTTTTAAATTAGCAAGCAGTTGTTGTTTGTATCTTGCTAAAAAATGTTTTGTGTTATTGTACTTCTACTCGTGCCATCTGCTTGTTTAGAAGCAATTCTTGTACACACATTTGTAACACTTTTAAAAGTGGTGATTCCTCAAGTGACTAAGTCGTTAGACTGGATATTTGAGAGGGCTAAGTTGTTTTCTAACACTTAAAGGTTGTAATATTTCTAGATTATTGTATTAAGTCTTTGTCTAAGGCAAATTCACCTTGGTGAGTGGACTAGAGTAACTTTGTTAACAATGAACTAGGATAAAGATAATTGTGTCTATTTATTTTTATTTTCTTGTTAGCATTTAAATTTGAATTCCGCAGAAAATATCACATTTGGTGAAACCCAATTCAAACCCCTATTTCTTGTGTTTCTCGCCCCTTCAATTGGTATGAGAGCTCCCGTTCTGGTATTGATGTTTATCAAACACTTAACCATGTCAGATAAATATCTAGACAAGCTTTGAGAAACACCTTGATGGTTTTTACTCCACCACCTGTTGTTCTAATCTCAAATGTTCTTAGTTATACCTTCCACCATTGTTGGTGAAAAGGCTGAGTATTGGAAAGATGAACTTGAAAGTTCTTTCTAAATGGTGATACTGATCCTTGGAATATGGTAGTTGAATACTATATATCTCCCTCAGGTGAAGCTAGTAAAAGCATGAAAGTTAATATGA